TATATCTAGATCAAATGATAGTATTAGATTAAGTAGGCAACTCACTTTTATATCTATTCCCTAAATTAAAAACATATGTTTATTTATTAATTATAATAGAAATTAGATATAATAAATAAATAATAGCAAAATTAAGATTAAAATATAATATATTGTTTAATAAAACATATATAATTTGGACTAAATTAGTATAATAGATAATGAATACAATAGCGTCAAGTATTATTCAAATGTTTTAATTGTTTTCATTAGTTTAATACTATTTATCAAAAAGTAAAACTGGAAAACAATTGATATTAAATGATAACACTATTACCGGAACTAATAAATACATAATTAAAATAAATTTGATTATACAATATTTTTATCAGAATAGCGTATACTTAATATACAGAATAATTACATTGGTCTTTTAACTGTACTAATCTAATTTTTGTGACACAAATATTTTGACTATATTCAATTGTTGACCATAGATGGGAAAAATTCACCTTTATTCAAGATTGTATATTTATATATTTAATATTATTTATAACACAATTGCTTATACCAAAAGTATTTAATTATAAAATTGATTAATAATAATAGTAAATAAGGAGACAAATAATATAGTAAATGACAAAATGACCGAGGTGCCCGTATTGCGTAAAACCATATAGTTTGAATAGGAGTTGAAACTAAATCCGCTGGTCGTATTCCTATACGTGAGTTCGCATCTATACATTCCCGAAGTTAGCCTGGTAGCATTTCCTATTTTAACATGCACTATTGGCGGTTGTGTAGATGATTGCAACCAAGTTATATTTCTAACTCCTTGAGTTCTATCAAACGACCCTGATGATGTGATAATTAAATAAATGTTTAACATTAAATTCATAATTAAATTAAATAAATGTTTAGACATACTTTGACCAAACATATTAATAGTAGCGAATGCGTGTTTGTCCTTGGTCAGTGATAGCGATACTAGACTTTGTTTGCCGACCACTAGTTTAGACTCGCAGTGAACACTAATACTGCCGTTAACTTTGAATACTTTTGGCATAATATTTAGTTTAACTGTAATATAAAATATGGTAAAAATTATTA